ACGGTTATGAGGAAAGCAAAGACATTCTAACCTTCCTTTGAATAAGAGAGCATGCCATTTCTTCAAAAAAGAGCAATTATTCTATTAAAATTTAAAGGAGTTGATCGTGTATAGCGAAGGTTTGGAAACCATTGTTGAAAATGCCTGCAGCCCAGAGGCTCTGGCTGGGGTCCTGCTGGTTCTGCCTGTATCACGTGGCAGAGAGCCTGGGTCTGAGACTGAGCTGTGCTTCTGATTCCACTTCCTGCTAATGCACACCCTGTGTGGAAGCCGGTGATGGTGATGGCTCAAGTACGTGGTTCCCTGGCACCCCCAGGAGAGACCTGGATTGAGTTCCAGGTTCCTGGAGTTGGCTCTCCCAGCCCCAGCTATGTTGACAGGCATTTGGGAGATGGACTGATGGATGGAGTTTCTCTCCCTCTCTCTCTCTCCCTCTCCAATTCTCTCTCCCTCTCCCTCTCCCTCCCTCTCCTCTTTCAAATAAATACAAGTAATTTTTTTAAAAAAATCTTCAGACAACAATATTAGATCTTTAGTAGTTCTGGTCACATAATTCTGTAATTTTAGATGTGGAAACAGTTATGTGCAAGTGAAATCTAAGATTTCTGAGGATAATTTAAAAAATTCTAATAGCTTTCTGAAAGAGCAAGGCTACTCATAAATAGACTAAAAAATTCAAAAATTATATCTGGTTCGTCAGTATCATGGCATAATGAAAAACATTTCAGTTTTAAGAAAAAATACTTTTGAAGCTGAAATTTTATACCCAACCACACTATCCATCCAGGGTTGATTGTATTTTAAGAGAAGCAAAAGCAGAAAATGTATTCCCCTTGTGTCCAAATTCAGCTAAAAACAGTGTAAGCAGTGGCACCTGCTAGGGCGCCCGTCCCTTCTCCCTGCACCTGCTGGGGTGATGGTTTCTTCCACCCGCACCTGGTGGGGATTTTAGCTGCACCCTGGACTTTAAGGGAAGTCCTCAGTCCTGGAACACAGCACACCAGCCAGCTATTTCAGCAAAGGGAACAAGCTGCCTTTCTTCCTACAGGTCCTAAAGCCCCCGTGTGTCTGTTCACTGAGGTTCCTGCCCTGTCTTAGCCTTTCAGTCACTCGGGTTTCCTGTGGGCTCCAGGGTGAGAAGGGAGTGCATTTTCAGCAGGGATCTTTCCTACTTCAAGTAGTTTGTGGGGAAAATGGGATTAAAAGAAAAGCTTGTCTTGGTGCAAAAAAAAAATTCTGAAACCCATGCATTTGATGGGTTTTCAAAGAGTTCATGGAAAACTGTATTATGTAAAAGTATGCATGGATTTCCATTTTTTGTGTACCCAAATTATCTTTTAGTTCCATTTTATTTTTCAAAGATTTATTTATTAATTTGAAAGTGGGGGGAGAGAGAGATCTTCCATCTGCTGGTTCACTCCCCAAATGGCCACAATGGCCAAGGCTGGGTCAGGCCAAAGCCAGGGGCCAGGAGTTCCACTCAGGTCTCCCATGTGGGTGGCAGGGCCCAAAGTACTTGGGTATCCTCCCAGGTGCATCAGCAAGGAGCTGGATCCAAAGTGGAGCAGCTGGGACTTGAACCGGTGCCCATCTGAGATGCTGGCATTGCAGGCAGCAGCTGAACCAGCCACATCACAATACCAGCCCTGTTAATTCCATTTTCTATGGCTCTTTTGTGTATGGGGAGGTCTGGCTGCAGGTGGACAGGCCTTGTGGGCCCAAGGCTGTGGGGGTGGGGTCGGCCCCAGGGTCAGCTACTTGCAGGAAACAGCTCTTTCTTGAAAGGTGGTCAGAGTAGCATCTCTTAGCCACTTAGGGAGAAGCTGTTTTCTAAAGCTAAGACAGACGTCACTCATCCCCCACCTGTCAGGTTTATTCACTTTAAATCACTGTGGCTCCAGGCTGCTGGAAGTGGCTACTGGCCGATTGCTCCAGAGTGGACTAAACGATGCCCACAAGCAGTAAGGACTCTAACCATGGCTGATAAAGGCCACGTTATATTACAGACTTCCAACCTGGGATCCCCTCGGTTAGAACGTGGATGCTGGGTGCTCGTGCACCCCCAAGCCAAAGCTGGACCCCCGGGAGCGAGAGCAAGGGCAGAGAGTCCCTCACGGAGGGGGCTGATGTCGTCATTGGATTTCTCAGAAACACCTCTAGCAGGGGCCTCCCGGATAGGACGGGAGGGAAAGCGGCGTTTCTGGGGCAAAAAGGACTCGAATTAAACGCCGGCTTCTGTCTGTCTCCTTTTAAAGCCTCGTGCTCCGCAGCGTGGGGCCAAGCACCAGCCGCTGCCAGGAAGGGAGCAGGACTTGCGCCGAGCGGCTTTGCCGGGGAACTCGGCTTTCTGAGATGACGGCGAACACAGTGAGCGACGTGCACCTGCTGGAGTCCTGGCACCTTCTCCCCGAGAAGTCTCCATCCACGGCAAGCGGGGATCTGAGTGGGAGGAGCTGCCCGGCACAGCCTGTCTGTTCACAGCCTCTCTGGTTTGCCTGAGCCCCAGTCTGGAAAGCTCCTGGGAGGTCGGCCACAGGTCCTCCTCTGCTTCCCAGGGTGGCCCGGAGGAAGTGGGGGGAAGGGGTGTCCTCTTGGCAGCAGGGGCTCAGGATAAACACCCCTCCCCCAGGGCCATGGCTTGGTAAGTCCAGTGAGAGCTGGATGCCTCCCTCAAGTGCTCCTCTGTTGAGTGCTTTTGTGCAGTGATCAACCTGCACAACCACACCTGGGAACCCTGTTGAATATTGGAGGATTTGACAGGACGGGACAGTAGGCGGCTATGGAAGAAGGGTTATTGTAGGAGGGATGTTTTCCGGGCTCCATCTCAGAAGATCCCACCACCAGCAGTGCAGAGTGCATATACACACACTGATGTCTAATGACCGAGGCTGCGACTGCTCGTCGCTATGAAACCGGCTCACAAGGTGTTTTCCTTAGAGCTTTCCTATTTTCAGAGTTTCTTCAAATGTAACAGTTAAAGCTTTTTTTTTTTTGACAGGCAGAGTGGACAGTGAGAGAGAGACAGAAAGGTCTTCTTTTGCCGTTGGTTCACTCTCCAATGGCCGCCGCGGCCGGCGCACCACGGCTGGCGCACCGTGCTGATCCGAAGGCGGGAGCCAGGTGCTTCTCCTGGTCTCCCATGGGGTGCAGGGCCCAAGCACTTGGGCCATCCTCCACTGTACTCCCGGGCCAGAGCAGAGAGCTGGCCTGGAAGACCTTTTTTAAACAATTACTTATTTATTTGAAAGGCAGAGTTAGAGATCGGCAGAGGCAGAGAGAGAGAGAGAGAGAGAGAGAGAGAGAGAGAGAGAGAGGTCTTCCATCTCCCCAAATGGCCACAGCGGCCGGAGCTGAGCCAATCCTAAGTCAGGAGCCAGGAGCTTCCTCCGGGTCATCTGTGTGGGTGCAGGGGCCCAAGGACCTGGGCATCTTCCACTGCTCTCCCAGGCCACAGCAGAGAGCTGAATGGGAAGTGGAGCAGCTGAGACTCGAACCGGCACCCATATGGGATGCCGGCACTGCAGGCAGTGGCCTTACCTGCTACGCCACAGCGCCAAACATTTATAATTTTTAAGTAATGCTAATCCATTCTTTTTGTTCATTCCAATTGGGTTCTAGACAGTGAGTGATCAAAGATGGAGCCGGCGCTCCCAGGAGATGCGGGGCCGGGTTCCTGCGCCTCTGGCCACGGCGTCCACACCGGCTGATCGACAACGCTGACTTCCTGTGAGCGCCTGCTCAGTGATGCCGTATGACACGCACAGGCTCTCCGTGGATGATTACTGACGCACCGTGTGCCTCACCACTGGACAGCAGCAGAGGGGGCCAGGGGCTCCTGACGCCAGGCGGTGTCCTCGGCTCTCAGCCTCTCCGGCTTCTTTACAGAAAAAATCAGTCAGAAGCTCACAAATCTGCAGATTTGCCTTCGCTGCGTCACGGGCGACAGACGCCGCTCGGCCCTGGCAGGGTGGCCTCGCAGACACCGGCACCGGCGTGGCCTCGCAGACACCGGCACCGGCTCCCTCATGCCCTGACCTTGCACTCAGGCCGACTCCCGCCGGTCACCCTCCTGCCACAGGTGCCTCGCGCCCCTCGGCCTCAGGAGCGTGGGGGGAGTTCTTCAGCGGCGCTGCGGGTCCCCACGTCCAGGGAACTCGCCACGGCCAAGCCCAGGCACACAAGGGGCGCGGCACTAGGTGGAGAAGGGGCAAGGCGGAGGGGCCTGCACCCCGGGGGCGGCCGTGGGAGCGGCTGTGGGCTGATCTGAGCTCAGGATCGGGTTGACGGCGCTGCAGAGCGCCGATCGGTTCCCGCTGTTTCTGCGGAGCCGGCGGGGCTGTTGCCATCGCACCCCTGATGCTCCAGATGAACCACGTGGCTCTAAATCCACTAAATTATCCGGCTTCTCTTTTCCGGAGTGCAAAGCCGCTCTCCCCCAGGAATTAAAACCCATAAAACGCAGTGACATTTAATACGCTCCATGTTGGGGAGCAGTAATTTCCAATCAAAACCGTGATGGCCGGGCCTGATTTTTCTGTGTGCAATCTGACGCAGCCGGGGCTGAACCCCGGCAGGAGGTGCTGAGACCCCAGGGCGTGGCGGGTGATGGAGGCACCGCATGAGGCGGGCAGGGTGACTCTCGGGGGGCTCACACTTGGGGGATCCTGTTTCACTTCCTTGGCTTGGACCCCACCCAGCACCTGGGAAAACAGAGCCCAGTGCCCCACCCCCACCCTTGGGCAGCCCTGCCAGCCAGCTCTGCCTAAAAAGGCTTTAATTTAATTAACAGAACACAGCATCAATAAACATTAGCTCAGGACGGCTCCCAGCCTGGCTCCAGGGCCCCAGGCCAGAGTTATTTGAGAACCAGCCCCTCCCCCACCCTGCCAGAGCTCCCGGCTTGTCAGCTTTCCCACATGGTCCCCAGGTGACCGCCACGTCCCGACCTGCTCCCTGCTCCCTGCTCTGGCCCCACCGCGGGGCACCTCGGCCGGGCTAGCGCTGTAGCAGGAGTAGGGGACGCAGCCTTCTCTGGCATAGTCTTGTCCCCCGGGACTCCCTGCCGGAGCCACACCGAGGTTGGTCCTTGGCAAAATGGGGGGCGCTCCAGCCAGCACCAAGAGGACGCAAGGGAAGGAACACGGGCACAAAGTGCTGCTTGCCTAGCCGGCCCGAGTCACCCTGTGCGGCTGGCGAGCCGCGATGGGCGGATCTGCCGAGCAGGTGACCTGCCTGGGTCTGAGGGCAGGGACTGTGGCCCGCGGAGCGCACTGCGCACAGACCCCGTCCTTAGGAACACGATGTCACTCAGCCTCGTGACAGTCACGGGGGTGCTTCAGGGGGCAGGCGGAGTTCGCTTCGGCAGGACAGCGCTGGCGCCTCCAGGAAGCCTGTGCCATGAGTCAGTGCAGGAGCCCTGGGCTGTGTCTCCCAACTCACTGCCGCGTCCTGGTCGCGATATCGGTGCCCGTGCCTTTCCCAGCCGATGTTGGCACGCGCCCACGGTCAGAGCACACGGGGAAGGCAGAAGCAGACAACCACAAGGAGTCGGTGGCTGCGTTCCCGAGCCTGTGAGAGCAGCGTGGCCACGTGGTTCCTTTGGCCCTCGGAAGACATCAAAGCCGCAGGGAGGCCGACTTGGGGATGCCGGTGAGATGATCTGTTCCAGGAGCCCTGAGGCAAAGGGCTCGGATGCCTCGGGGCAGGCGGGGTGGGGGCTGAGGTCCGCAGCTCCCCGTACCAGAGGCATCCGCTCACCACTCCTGGGGCGAGAAGGGCCCGGTGCTCCTGAGCCCAGCTGGGTGGGTTGCTGTGTGCCTGGACGCCGTGGAGCTGCCCCTCCTCACGATGGCCGTGAGTGGGCTGGCAGGGAAGGACCCAGTTCTGGGAGGGCTGAGGTGTCTGCGACCAGGGCCAAGGCCTCTGCCTCACTCGGGTCCCTCTCCTTAGCTTTGGGGCTTTTTAAAAAGATTTTATTTTATTTATTTGAAAGACAAAGTTACAGAGAGAGGGAGAGGCAGAGAGAGAGGTCTTCCATCCGCTGGTTCAATCCCCAGATGGCCACAATGTCCAGAGCTGGGCCGATCCAAAGCCAGGAGCTAGGAGCTTCTTCCAGGTCTCCCACATGGGTGCAGGCGCCCAAGGACTTGGGCATCTTCTACTGCTTTCCCAGGCCACAGCAGAGAGCTGGATCGGAAGTGGAGCAGCCGGGTCTCCAACAGGTGTCCAGATGCGATGCCGGCGTCGCAGGCAACGGCTTTACCTGCTGCGCCACAGCGCCAGCCCCAGGAGAACCGTTAGATCAGATGGCATTTGGGTAAGTTAATTTATTTGGGCAAAGAGGTCAGGAGACAGGGGGAGGCTGAGGATACAGGGGAGGTGGGAAGCTGACACAGGCAGGAGGGAGAAGTGTGCGTGTCTCACGGAGGGCACGGAACGTGCACGCAACAGAAAAGCTGTGCACGGATTCCACCAAAATGATTTCTCTCCTAGTTCAGTTTTCCACTAACTTTGCGAAGTCCCCTTCAAGACGGCTTCCAGCCGTGCACAACTTGGTGCCACCCTTCCCACACCAAATAGGGCTGACCTGTGTGGCCTGAAGGATGCTGGGAAATGGGTGAAGCGTCACTCCTGGGTGTCACCCTTGGGCACCCATGACACCTGGCTTCCACCTGGCTTCTCTTGGTGGCTCCCTCTGGGGGAAGCCAGCTGCCATGTCGGGTGGACCCGGAGCACTCCGTGGCCAGGTCCACGAGCTGGGGAACCATGGCCCCTGCCAGCAGCCGGGGGAGCAGGGCACCTTGGAGGCAGGCGCTCAGCCCCAGGCACAGCATCAGGTGCCTCCAACCCCGGCTTTATGCAGACCTCGGGGCTGGAGCCCTCCGGCTAAGCCGGGAGGATTCCTGGGCTGCGGGAGATGACTGACACACGTCGCTGTGGCTCCAAGCGGCTGCGGTGACCTGCCAGTCAGGTAAGGGCAGACGCGAACCTGGGGGTGGAGTGTGGGGGAGGTTGAGGCTGTGTGCCCTTGGCTCCTGGGAAGTATGAAGAGCAAGGCCAGGCCAGCCACCAACTGCGGGGTGATGGGGTGGATGGGAGGCGTGCAGGTCCACTGTGAGATCAGCGAGGCCCTGGGACGGAGGAAGAGGAGGGGGGAGAAGGCTGAGGTCTCCGTGCGTGAGACGGCTGCTCGAGCCTGGACATGACTGGCCGTTCCGGTGGCGCCGCTCCTCGTCGGTCATGTAACAGACGCTGCCTGCTGGTCATTTCTGGACTCGCTAGCGAAGACAGCAGTGCAGGCCCAGGAGTTGTGCAGCCTGGTGTTCGAAGGAGAGCTTGGGACCTGCAGGGGTGAGATTCTCTCCGGGATACATGTGTGCCGCGTCCGGCCTGAGCTCCCCCTTAAACCAAACCAAGCAAATGTGGGAGAATCAATGGTCGCAGACACAGGGATGTAGATCGTCCCTGTCTCTGCCCAGAGAAGGGCCTGCAGACCTCAACAAAGGTGGGAGCAAAACCCAGAGAACCCCGCACGGAAAGGCGGGGGGCTGGGGCTCCCCAGGAAGGGGTGGCCCGGCGTCACTGCTGTGTGAACCTCAGCCGGCCGTTGGGTGCCATCGGCACGGGCTCCTGAGACGGAGGTGAGATTTAGACAGGCGTGCGTGGGGAGGGAGGCACAGGTGTCCGGCCCAGTGTGGGGGCCCCGTCTGCGGATGGCCGGCAGGGCCTTAGGTGCGCCTGGCTCACTTCTCAGGTTACACAGGGGCCACGTGGAGGAGCGACATGGCCTGCCGGCCTCGTTCCCTGAGGTCTGTCACGATGGCCGTCGGGAGCCTCTCAGAGGGCCCACTGCCTACTCAGGGGCACCAAACCGCCCGCACCCGGGCCGTGACACTGCTCGCTTACGCGTGGATCTGGTCTTGTCCCTATTCTTGCCTTCGGCACACAGTCAAAGAGCCGTCTGTGCGTGTGGCACGCAGCTGGGGCAGGAGGCCCTCAAAGCAAGATGTCTCCCATGACGGGAAGGGGAGAGGCCACACCAGGCTGATGCCACCAGTCCCGCGCTCCTCTCCCCCTGCCTGGGATCCGAAGGAACACTCCAGTCTAGCACGGATCTGGCGACCGGAACCGACTCCCTAATTCACGGAGCTCGTGACACGTCCCTAGTGTTAAGCGGCTGACCAACAACAAAGAGACACCCACATGCCAAGGCCTTGTTTCTTCCCTCCCGGGGCGTTTTGGCTGCCATGGTCCTGCTCCTGCCCGGGGCAGCAGGGTTCCCAGCCCTTCCGCCCACCTCCACCGGAAGCAGCTGTTCTTGGTGACAAACCCTGGATTCGAAATGACGCCCTCCACAGCCATCGGCTTCCGCATTCCCGCCGTGTTGGGACGCTTCCCCCTAGGCTGCACCTGCCTCCTGCCCTCAGCCGGCTGCTCTCACCCGCGGCTGCCGTGGCCTCCCTGTGCCTCCACTGGGCGAGACACGTGGTCCCCACAGGCCCTGCACGCCCTGGAGGCCTGGTGTCAAAGCTCAGAAGCCTGGGCTCTCATTTTCCTGGTGCTGTGAGCGACTTCTCCCCTCTGCTCTCGGGATCTCCCTCCTGCGAGCTCAGAGTTCACGGAACTCATTACAGCTCCATTCAGTCCACGCTGCCCCAGGCCGGTGCCCAGCTCCACGGAGGCCGGCGACCAGGTCCAGCGAGGCTGGTGACCAGGTCCAGCGAGACTGGTGACCAGGTCCAGCGAGGCCAGTGACCAGGTCCAGCGAGGCCGGTGACCAGGCCCAGCGAGGCCGGTGACCAGGCCCAGCGAGGCTGGTGTTTGGTATAACAGGACCGGCCGCAGGCAGAGAAGGCCATGTCTGGACGATGCAGGCAGGCGCCTGGCCCCAAAGCACGGGCTCATTAGCGTCTGTGAGAAGCTCGGGAGCCACAGCGGACGAGGACAAACGCTCAAGGCCCCCGAGGACCTCAGTTGCTCCTGATTTCTGGGAGAACTTGGAGAGGCGCACAGTTTCCTTCCCTGATGTGCACGATGGGCCAGGAGCCTGAGCTCTGCTCCACGGACGCCCCAGCGAGCCTGGGCCAGGAGGACGCGTGGTCCGGGTGACCCGGCCTCCCAGGCCCCTGCCCCATAGACCCGCCCACAGCACGCCGCCTGGCCCTGCAGCAGGCTCCCACGGACCCCAAGGTACTCTGGAGAGGCGGGGCCTCTGTGTGGCTCACAGCCCACACCCAGCCATGACCTGGGGTGACATGGGGAGGCACAGGCAACTCTCAGCCCAGCACACCCCTGAAGGAGGAGGCGGCCTTGGGGCCCTCAGTGCTTTGTGTAAGAACTCACATGTTCGGGGCCGGTGCTACGTCACAGCAGGTTAAGCCACTGCCTGTGATGCCGGATCTGCATGAGCACCTGTTGGAGCCCCGGCTGCTCCAGTTCTGACCCAGCTCCCTGGTAGCGTTCCTGGGACAGCAGCAGAAGGTGGCCCCAGTGCTTGGGCCCCTGCACCCACGTGGGAGACCCGGAGGAAGCTCCAGGCTCCTGGGTCCAGGCTTCAGGTTGGCCCAGCCCTGGCTGTTGAGGCCACCCGGGGAGTGAGCCAGCGGATGGACCATCTCTCTTTCTGTAACCCTGACTTTCAAATAAGTAAGTGCATCTTTAAAAAGAGCACACTTTTGTCTTAAGTCTCTTCTTGTGTACTGACTTCTAACAATACACACCTGTCACGATCTAATACCTTCTAATACCTGTCATGATCTTCTATCTTTAAGAGAACAAGAGGAAGGGAGAGAGAGCAAGAAGGAAGAAAAAAGTTAAGCCCCTCCCACTCCTCTGAGACATTTCTCTCTCAAGGCTCCTGGAAGAGCTGGGCCCCTTTGCTGCCCCCCGTGCCCTCTGCCCCCGCGGAGGTCCCCGCTGGACCCCGTGGACGCCCACTGTGGTTTTAATCTCCCCGCCTCTGTGGACTATGCAGGTGGTGTAGAGCAGAAACTCTGCCCAGAGGCTGGGACGTGCTGCACCCTCCATCCCCACCCCGCTCGCTTAGCAGCTTGGTGGGTGAGACCCACGGGCAATCAGCAGGTGTTCCCGGTGCCCGGCGTCCCCTGCCTGCCAGGCTGGTAGCTTTCTCCCCTTCTGTGTGGCCTGGAAGGCTGTGGGGCTCCCCCTGCTCTCCCACGGTGCTGGCTGTGTCCGGGTCTGATACAGACACCTGCACTGGCCAGCTACACCTGACACACGTCCCTCAGGTCCTTCCAAGGCAGTGTGGCCCGACTGCCACCCACAAGTCACCTGCCGCCTCCACCACCCTTCCCTGGGCTCTCCCAGGGGTCTCAGCCCCGTTCCAGCCCACCCTGAGCAGGAGGGACCCTCCCTGTCCACCTCATCCCCAGCGCCCTTCCTCGAAGACTCTGCCGGTGCCTGGGACAGTACGTGATGACGCACCTGTTCCTGAGACGGCCGTCCTGTCCTGTCTCTTGTCCCACTCCACACAGGCTGCCCCCTGCTTCTGCTCCCAGCCCTGGCAGGAAGGGACACTCCAGGGTCGGCCGCCTGCTGTTGTCCACACACTAACCTGTGGGATCCAGGTCAAAGGTAACACCGCACCCTCCACACTCAGGCTTCTCTGCTCACCCAGTGGGGGGCTTTTCCCAGGCTTCCCATCGTCACTGTCACTCAGGGGAGGGCAGGGCCCAGAGCTGGGTTCAGTTCTGATGCCACCGACCAGTGTCAGCGTGACAAGCCCAGGCCCCACCTGCGATGCCAGGCACGCATCTCCACCGTCCTCCGTGCTTCTGACCGGCCAGCCGGGCTCGGGGATTTGCTCCAACAGCTCATAGACCCCAGGAAAAGACTCAACACAGCCCCAGGTTAGGATCAAGGGCACAGCTGAGGGGCAGCCAGAAGGGAGGGTGCACAGGGCACCCTGCAGGGCTGTGGGGCACCCAAACGTCTCCTGGGCACTGCCTCTGTGTCCACACCAGCCAGGAAGCTCTTGGGACCCTGCGCCTTTGGGTTTCATGGAGGCGTCTCCATTGCTGCCATGGATTCGCTCACTGGGCGCTGGAGATGGAGTCGACCTCCAGGCTCCCACCGTCTGGCAGGTCAGGGGAGTGCATGGAAAGCTCCAGCCCTCAGGCAGGCGAGTGTGGTGCGGAGGTGACCACGCTGCGTGGGCACCCACAGCCGGGCCACGGTGCCAGGTTCTAGCCCACCCCACCTCCGATCCCAGCTCCCTGGGGGACAGCAGGGGACCACTCAAGTACTTGGGTCCCTGCCACCCAGGCGGGAGCCCTGAATCAAGTTCTGGGATCCTGGCCCGGCCAAGCCCTGGCTATTGTGGACATCTGGGGAGTGACCCAGCACATGGCAGATATTTCTCTGTCTCTGCCTTTTGAATAAATAAAAAATCCATTATTTCATCGTCCTCTTTAGGTTCAAGGTGAACGTTCAAGGTGACTGTTGCAAGTGTAGGGAAGGAAGTGAATTCTGCAGTTTTAAAAAATGTTTGCTTTATTTGAAAGGCAGAGTCACAGAGAGCAAGAGCAAGCGAGCGAGAGAGAGAGGTCTTCCATCCTCTGGGTCATCCCCCACCGTGTGCCGCAGCTGGGGCTGGGCCAGGCAGAAGCCAGGCGCCAGGAGCTCCAACCAGGTCTCCCGCGTGAGTGGTGGAACCCAGGCGCGTGAGCCATCACCTACTGCCGGCCAGGCGCAGGCGCAGTAACAGGAAGCAGAATCAGCAATGGCAATGGAGCCGGAGCTCAATTCCAGACACTCCGACAGGGGGCGCGGCACCGCCGGCACTGGCTTCAGTGCTGCCCGCAACGCGGCCCCCAAACAGGAATGTGGAAGCACTGACAGCGGGGTTCCAGCCCTCGCACCCCGGGATTGCCTCCGCCAGCAGCCGGCCCCTCTTAGGGCGCCTGAGTGGGGCTTCTTATGGCTAACGAAAATGCTGGCTCTATCTTTTCCTCTCCCACCACTTTAGAGGTCTCTAGGATGGCTCTGGCCAGGAATCTGGGATGCAGACCAAACACAGACAGACAGGTAGATAGATAGATAGACAGACAGACAGATAGATAGATAGACAGACAGATAGATAGGTAGACAGACAGACAGACAGATAGGTAGATAGGTAGACAGACAGACAGACAGATAGGTAGATAGATAGATAGATAGACAGACAGACAGGTAGGTAGGTAGATAGATAGATAGGGCTAGCTAGCACAATACTTCTCACAATGTCACACCAAGTGTGTGAACACGCACGCACACACACCCGTCCCCCAGGAGCTGACACATACAATTCACAACAAACTTCACAACGCGATGGTCCCCTCTTTGAACCTCCAGAACAGCCCCGATGCTGCTATTCTGTCAGCCACGCCTCTCCTGGTTCTAGCAACACTAAGCTAAAGGACAAAGCTAGGCCCCTCCCTCAGCCTAGCAGGCACAACCAACCACAACCGGGCACCAAGTTACCACAACCTTCAGAAGAATTTCTGCCTGTGCAGAGTTACCCTCCAGCTGCCGTGGCCACACTACAGCCACACCGTGTCCTCTCCAGCCCCCGCCCTCAAAAGGCGCCCGGCCCACCGCCTGCCCCTCCTGGCCCCACTACCATTCCAGACCCAGCACAAAGGTGTCCCTGGCTGCTGGCATCCCCAGACACTTTCCCTGGTAATGGCCTTAAACTCATTTCCAAAGATTAAAACAATGCATAGGGTGATATTTTTCATATTGAAGTAATGTGCACTCTAGTATCTTTCCAAGGCTGATTCTTGGACGTGGAGCATTGCGATATAATAAATCGCGTGTCTGGCCAGCTCCCGGCACAGGGCTTCCAAAACCTTTGCAATTTCCTGAGCGATAGGAGCGCCTTTGTTATCCCCAATCAGCCATGCGCCTGTGTTGATGCTAACGGGGTGGGGCCTTGCTTTCTTGGGACAAAAGGGTGGGGACTGATGGCCTCTCTGCCTGACCTCTGGGGAGCAGAGGTGAGCTGCAGGCTGGAGACGGAGTTGTAGTATGTGGCCGTCCATTCACTAAAGCCCCAAGTAAGAGCTCTGGACACAGGACCCAAGAACACTGCCTGGCTGGTGACCATGTCCGCATGCTAAGAGTGTGGGGGTCTGGGGGCCACAGGGAGGAGCCGAGGCAGCTCTGTCACCCGCCCCAACCCAGTACCTCGCCCTTGTCTCCTCCCCTGACTGGTAACTTCAGAATACAGCTGCAGAGGCCGGCATTGCGCGCCGTGGGTGACACCACGGCTGGAGGCTGGCATTCCGTATCAGAGTAAGCACAGGTTCAAGTCCTGGTTACTCGGGCTCCTGACCCACATCAAGTGGCATGTGGACCTGGCTCAGCCCTGGCTGTGGAGGGCCTCTAGCAAGTGAACCAATGGGTGGAAGATCTCTCTCTCTCTGTCCGCTCTGCCTCTCAAGTAGATGAAATAAAATAAATATTAAGAGAACAACTGTAGGAGCCAGCGTAATGGCGTAACAGATTAAGCTGCCTGTGACTCTAGCATCCCATATGGGCACCAGTTCGAGTCCCAGCTGCTCCTCTTCTGATCCTGCTCTCTGCTGTGGCCAGGGAGGGCAGTGGAGGATGGCCCAAGTCCTTGGGCCCCTGCACCCACGTGGGAGACCTGGAATTAGCTCCTGGCTCCTGGCTTCAGACTGGCCCAGCTCCCGCCGTGGCAGCCATTTGAGAAGTGAACCAGCCAATGGACGATCTCGCTCTCTGTATCTCCTCCTCTTCCTCTATAATCTGCCCTTCAAATAAATAAACAAATCTTACAAGATGCTGTGATTGTAAGCACGGCACTTTCTCAAGCCCCGAATTATTCTAGAGAATTAGCAAACCTGAGGCGGGGCCGTGCGAACCGTCTTCCTCCCTCTTCTGTCCCCACGGCCAGGCACTTGGTCAAGAGCAGAAGTTGGTTTGGGCCATGGTTCTGGAGGCCGGAGAGTCTGCGAGCAGGACCTGGTGCTGCATCTGACACGGCTGTGACACGGGGAGAGCATCCGTGAGCTCGCACGCCCCTCCTCTTAGAGAGGGGGCGCTGCCCTGGGGCTCGGACCGCATCCAGTCCCCACCCCTCCAAACGCAAGGGCCTTCAAAAAGTTCATGGCAAACCGTGTCGAGAGAGAAGCTTGCTCTGGGCCAGCCAGGTGCGAATTCCCCGCATAACTCTCTCGGAGTGTGCCTTTTCCAGAAATATCTTCAAACTGTTAACGTCTGGTTTGGGGGGAGTAAACGTCTAACACGTGAGTGTTGGAGACCACAGGGAAAGGTTTCAGGCAATGGAGAATCCGAGATTGTCAGCCAGAGTAGACGTGGGGGTCGTGGGGACCCCTGTGGCAGATGGTCCCTAAGGAAGGAACCATGGGGACCTCACCCTCTAGTTTGTGGGTTCTGGTCCTGACTCAGGATGGAAGCCCTCGGCCCCGGTGGGTGGGCCCTGTGCTGATGTGGGGGAGTTGGTGTCGGGCCTGGCTTGGAGGCCCCGCGGTCCAGTTGGTGTCAGAGGACGGGCTTGGGAAGTGCAGACATTTTTAATTCCCTGGAATGCTAATAAAAATGCAGATCCCAGATGTTGTGGATCAGATAATCCAGCGTCTTTCTCCAGGGAGCACCTTAGCGATGCTTACGTGTGCGGAAATCTG